TAGTAACTATTTCTCCCAAAACGATTACGGTATTAAATCCACAACTAACCTAGACTAATCATGGACCGACCGGGATATGTAAAAATAAATAAATTGCAAAGTGCATGAATAGAAAACTTACTTTACCAGGAACCATGGCAATCACAGAGACATGCGCATGAGGAGTGAGGTACGATTTCTATTTAGACTGGCTCAGCAAAATGAGATTAAAAGGGTGCCTAACCGTCGCAGTCTCGCGTTGGTGTCAAGTCCTTTTAACCTCGGCCAAATCGAAAGGAATATCTTATAGTCACGCGAATAGCGGCTAAAGATACTTCTTTACGATTTTTAGAAATAAATTTCGGGGAAAAGAAAGGCAACCTCTACATCGCGGGCTCGCGTTCGAGGTCGTATCTTTCTTAACTCCATCCTAACATGCCCTATCGCGGCCTAGGTCCGGCAGCGTGGTTGTGTGTGCAACGGTGTAGTGCTAAATCATTAAAGCATGCACAACAAATTATAAACAATCAATTCGAACCTGCAAGACAAATAACACCTTAATGTCAGGATCATACCTGGAGTCCTTGCTGCCAAACAAAAATTATTTTTAACAGGATTAATTTTTGGCTTAAGTCCACTTTAAAAAAAAAATGCGATCCCCAGCGGAGTCGCCAGTCTGTCGCGACCGAACTCCCGAGCCCTTTTTTAAACGACATGCAAAAAAGGGGGGCTCGCCTGGTACGTGCTAAGTCTAGGTTCGGGACTTAACTCGGGCTCTCCCAAGCCCATACCATATCGCGACTTAGGGTTTAAGTGTTTAACATGCAAGTGGTTTATATCAAGGAGTCGCCACTAATCGATTTGGGGTGGGTCGATTAGAAACCCAAATAGGGTGATGGGAGAATCACCTTATTCCTACGAACCAGAGATTAAATGAGTTCGGGGACTTGGTTACACTAGTTGGATAACTAATGCCCTTTCGGTACCATTTTACCCTATTCATTTCTGAAAACATTTGTCAGGCAATTTGGATTGATTTTAGGACCTTTCTCCTAACATGTGAGGTGATCAAGCGAGTGCATAATCAGGAACGATTAGCAGTCAGGAACACAACAATGCATGCAGCCTAAGGTTCTAACCTTAACTAAGTCAGATGACATTCAAAACACAACAGCTCATGCAATTGTATTAAAAAACATGCATAATAATACAGCGATAATAAAAGCTAACATGCAAAATACTACTGCGCAACCTCAGGCTTGTCTAATTTAAACAAGATAAAAATATGCATAATAATACTATAATAAATTAAACATTTAGAATATATCACACAAATTTTTAAAAAAAAAAATTTTTTTAATTTTTTTTTAATACTTTTTTTTTTCGAGAAAAAAAAAATAATAATACAGAAGAAAAGAAAAATAAAAAAAATTAATTTTTTTTTAAAATTTTTAAATTTTTTTATTTTTTTTAAAAAATTTTTTTAAATAAAATAATAATATAATATTAACCGGGTCGGGCGGATCCGGGTCGGAACCGACCCGGGTCAACGGATCCGACCCGGGCGTTGACCGGGTCGGATCGGTCAATCCGGATCGGGTCGGGCACCGACCGGGTCGAATCGATCAATCCGGATCGGGTGGAACCGACCGGGTCATCGGATCCACGACGGCGTTGACCGGGTCGAAGTATTAATCCGGTCGGTCGGAACCGACCAGTCAACGGATCCGACCGGCGTTGATCGGGTCGGATCTGTTGATTCGGGTCGAATCCGAGCCGAACAAACAGACCATGGGGAGGGGGCGCGGAGAGGCCAAAATTGCCGTCCGCCGGGCCGACCCAGTACCCGCCCCAAATCGCCCGGACCCGGGTCGCGGCCGTGCCACTCCACTGAACCGCCGTCGGATCACCGTTCGCCGGCCGGCGACGGAACAAAAACCAACCTGGTTGAGGCATTTCGTCGAACGCCTGGCGGGCGCGTGGAAAAAGGGGGGGTTCCGACCTCCTCCGGCGATCCGGTCGACTCCGGTGGCTGGGTTCGCCCGGACGGTGAGCTTGTGGACCGGAGCCGAGCGTCGGTATGGGCCGGGATTCGCGCGAAACGGCCGGCGCGAGTCCCGCCAAACCGAGGCAAAAAACGGGGGAAAACGGGGGAGCTTCTCGGCCGAGGGGGGCTCACCGGTCGACGGCGCGTCTGGATGGCTTCCGGCAGGTCTGGCAATGTCGACGACCGCTGCTGGTTCTTCTTTAGCTCCGGCGTGGCCTCGGTTTGCTCTCTCTTCTCTGTTTCACTCTCTATTCTCTCTCGGTCTCTCTCGGTTTTTCTCTGAAAATCGCCGACCCACTCTCTCTCTCTGTGTCGCCGTCGTTGGCTCGGCGACGGGGATGGATGGCTGAGGCGCGGTGGCTGCCGGAGGCTTCCTATCTCTCCCGGCTCACGCTCTCACGCTCCCTCTGTATTTTTCTAAAAAATGGCCGACCGCGGCCTCTCTCTCTCTCTCTGGCTATTATAACCGGCGACGACGAACCTGTGCCTCCCCGCGTCGGCGTGACGATGGCCTGCACCGGCCTACCTGTCCCGCGACTTTCGCGGCCATAGTAGGCCGGTGCGGAGCAGAGCTTGAAAGCGGAGGAGGGGGCCTTAAAAGAGCAAACTGAGGAGGCGAGAGGGAGGGGAGGGGATAAGGAGAAGGGAAATGGGGGAGGACGGGAGCGGCCATTAATGCCGGGATCCGTGGCGTCTCATCCTGCCCTCCTCCCGAGGCTTTGTAGACAAAGAACGGTGAGAAGGGCGCCGCCGTGCGCCATCCTGTGCCGTCGGTGAGCCGAGGACTAGACAGGAGGACAGGCGGAGCGACGGGGGAGAAGGAAGAGGCGGTGGGCCGGGCCAGGCCCGGTCCGCGCGGAAGGAGAAAAAAGAAAAGGAAACGGGTTTGGGCCGCGCGGGGAGGAAAAAAGGAAGAAAGGGCCGGGTCGGCCCAGCCCCGACCCTGCCCGAATCGATTTCGATTTTTTTTTTTTTAAATTTTAAGAAAATATGCTCTAATAGGCCTTATTAATGCACATATGCCTAATGCTATATGCAATGCATTTAAATAGAAATATTTTTTTTGTTTTAGGAATTAAAGAAATTAACTCCTAAATTTTGCAATTAATTTTGGGCAAATTAAAAATAGGTGTCAACACAACACCTTTTACTCGTTTCCAAATAATTATTCTCTTCATCAAATGCCCAGAATTTACTCTTCTGCCAACCAAAGACATGTCAATTGGCATGGACGGGAGATAAATAATTAGCACGAATTAGTCGCATCTGTTTTTTTATTTTTTGTTTGTCATAGGAATATAGTTCTTAGAATCAGAAAAGAATTTAAGTAAATGATTAGCTTAGAATACATATCAGCAAGACCTGATCAGGGCTACTGCATGTTGTAATGAGTTCACGTCATGTAAATATAGTCCAACAAGAGATTAGGTTTCACGAATTGTATTGAATCTTATATAGTAACCATTTTGTAATAGGCTCAATTCTGTTAATGGGGTTTTTGATTGGTTGATTCTCGTGATTGTGAGTGTCCATCGTTCTCAAAAAATCATAAAAGATGAGATTTTTCGTATTGGCAAATTCAGTCGATGGTCGATATTATGATAGCCTGAGAATTAGTTGTTTAAATTTTTCCAACCGAGAGTTGGATTTGGTAAAAAAAATTTTATCAAATGATTTTATTAATAAGTGTCTTGAAAATGCCCGTTAAATGCCCCCATTAAAGCAAATCTGTTGTTTTCAAAGCATTGATTTTCTCGTGTTGTGCTTAATCAGTGGATGTAAAATGAAACTTTTTTTACTCATTAACAAGACCGTTCATCCATATGCGACGAAACTGGCTAGACAAATTAACCTGGAAATAATAGGTTATCTTGGTGGGGATTTTGCAACAAGCTCGGAAAACGAAAATTCTCACTCCAGACGATGAATGTGTAATGAATGTGTAAGATAACCCTTTTATGTTCCTCTTTCTGTCAGAAAAAGATATGGCAATGTTGAAAATTTCGTTCTTTTTGTCATGGAAGTTGGAATTAAGTGTCCTTCTCCAATGGCTATTGTGGTTTACAGTTCATCCCAAATAATCTAGTCTACCTAGAATATTCTTCATTCCTTGAGACCCAACCGGCCCTATATATGTACGGAATTTATAGTTTCTTAAAGACATTTTGTTGAAATATTAAAAAGATACACTTCACTTTTGATCCAATAACCACGTACGTACCAATATTTTTGCAAGGACCTTAATCATATCCTTAAGCAAAATCCCACATCGAAATAATTAAATTGCCGATCCTTGCAAACTCGTTCTAGCATGTTGTTCACGGTTTAGATTGTTTGGCTTTTGATTGATTTTAAGTATTTTGGGTGTTCAGGGACAGGTATTTTTGGAAAGAAAAATGGAATTTTTTAAATATGCTTGAATGTGACTAGGCTCATCAAATGGGTGGGTTGGGTTGGGCCATAAATGACGCGATCCAAATTGACACATTTAACCCGTTTTGACTTATTTATTTGTAATGCAAATTTATGGACCAAGACCTAACCGGCCCATACCATGTAGTGACATAATTAAGGAAATTATGTTTAGAAATCATATATTGATGAGAGAGAGAGAGAGAGAGAGAGAGAGAGAGAGAGAGAGAGAGAGAGAGAGAGAGAGAGGCCGCTGGAGTCATGGTTAATGGCGGGAGGTTGAGTGGCTAGAGGGCTTGGTCGGATTTAACGTTTTGTTCAATATGGCAATTAGGGTTTTGAATCTAAATTAATTGGATACTTATACTCAATGAATTTTGAAAGAGATAACATGAGTCTATTCAAGGAGGGTAAACTAAATCCATCCAATTCATCCCCTAATCGTAAAGGTTGTTAATCCCTTATGCAAATATAATTCTTACATTGAAACCTCTCTATTTTTTAACAGTTTACTTCACAACCCCTCAGCGATGACTCAATGCGGAGATATTTCAAGCTAGTCAACTTCAACACAAAAGTACTTCAATACAGGCGTTGTACCAAACTCATATGTCACATTAACTCACCCTACACAATGCGTGACGCTTCTCATCATCCAGAAGAGAAATATTTAAAAGAGAAAAGAAAAGGAAAGAAATCCAATCACCTCCGTAAATCTCTCCCCTATATCTGTAAATCTCAATTCATAACATTTTGGTTTCTTTTTTACAAAAGATTTGCACATCCATGCATGCAATGTGCTTTGTTAGGTCCCGACGCGCACAACCTCCATAATGAAGCATCCATTCTGAGTGTCCCACCTGAATAGAATGATATCGCCGACCTTGATTTGTCTCGCCAGGAACACATCGCTCAAATTCATAAAGTAATGGCCGGTCTTGTGACACCTAGCGAAGTATACATTCAAGCCGCGGAAATACAAAGGCTGATTGGCGCAATTGTTGTTGCCACCCCTGCCACCGTGATTGCATTCTGTGTCGTCGCGTATCGTCACGTAGTGCCTGTGGCCTGCTTGTATGTTTTGCACGATGGACACAGGCCAGTGACAGAACATGTTATCAAAGGCTATGCGGTCCCTGACCGGCAGCTTCTCCGTCCCTAGATCGAACTCATCGATGACCTTATAGAGGGTCGGGTGGTCGTGAGAGTCGGACCGAGGGAGTGGATCTTCATCCCGGATCTCAACCTGGTCGCGTTCGACCTCGTGGTGAATATTCGGGGCCCTCCCCACGCCTTCAACAGCTTTGCTCGGGAGGAGGTTACAGCCGTAAAAGGTGTTCTTCATCGGAGCACGGTTGTTTTGGTCAGATGATTCTGGCGGGGAGGATGACCCGGCGCTGCTGGACTCTGGAACATCGTTTCTTGGGGAAGAGTTGCGCATTTTCTTGATTTTCTTGCTGTGGTTATTCGATGTTGGGAGGGTTTCGATGGCAGGAAGTGGAAATGCCGTTCTTGATGGCAACAACTCCTCTGCAACATGGAACGAGCACGAACAGTGAGTAACCCCGATCTTCAATCTTCTTGGTTAAGCGAAACAGATCACAAAAAACCGAAGAGAATGCGAAAAACCCTAAGTTTTTTCCTCTGTCATATGCGCGAAAAAACGGACTTTTGGGTTCGAGAAGACTCACCAGAACCATGAATGCTCGTGCAGCTCGAACAATCTGGCCTGGTCGCTTTGAAACATTCCACGAAATTGGCTCTCTTCTTCGAAGATGAAGAAGAAAGAGGAATGTCAATGCATTTGCCTTTGTAAAACCATAAAGAAGGAAAGTCAAACCTACACTCTTATCTTTCTTTTGTGCGGTCAAATTCTTTTCTAGATAGAGGCCGCTATAACAGATAAGACCAATCAGCATAACGTCCTTCCCCTTTCGTTTTTCATTTTCTTTTGCGATTTCTTCTGTTGCTTAGGAGTCCCACCGAGGCAGCCGACCTTGGTATTTATCTACAATAAATAAATACATGCAATTAGGACTGATATACATCATCCAATAGGAGTTGCCTATGAAGACCGATCTATATATGGAAAGGAAAAAAATAGTTAAAAATACAACTTTAATGTTATATCGATTCTCATTTTGAAACTTCAAATTCGAGACATAATCTAACAAAATCTTTGACAGAAGAAGTCGAGGGCGAATCTATTATGTAAACTTTTGCTTTACAGGATTCCACGGATGTCGCTAGGGTCAGTGAAATCATTTCTTCGCGTGATTCGCGTTTTTATGAAGCTGTCATTTTTCTGTTTTAATTTTAATGTTATTGCAGCATGTCAACTTTAGATCATTGTAAATTCAGAGATCTGTTTACATAAAAAAAATCATTTAATGCATTTCATGATAGAAATAGTATTCACCAATTCCGTAAGTTTTACCGGTGTTCACTGATTTAACTAGTTTCCCTATATTTACTAGTTTCATGACTTTAATTTTTAGATTATGTAACAGCAATTGTTTTATATATAAACAGAAAATATAAAAACTTATGGAATCACGATCATCTAATGTTTGATAAGTGTAAATGCAATTTATTTATGAGACAAACGGTTCTACATCATTCGATTATCTAATAGATTGTATATATAATTTTTACATGATATTTTCTTTGATTATCTTTCCGCTTTATTTTTCACTTCTATTGCTCTTATAGTGTTAAATTTTCTCGTAAGTAGGAGGTGAAAAGGTAGAAAAGGAGTTTTAGTAAACATATTACTGAAACGAATTTCTGAAATATAAAACCCATGAGAATTGATATGGTTTGAGCAGTTAATATATAATAGTTAATTCTCACTAGCTTACGTTTTTTAGTGAAGATGAGTCCAATTGGTATTAGGCTTCTGCTACGCATTTTCAACATATTGGTATTAGTGCTAGTAGTTGATTGGTAGTCCACTCCCAATATATATCAGTGTTTGGTAAATGTTACAAGGAAGGAATATATATCGGTGTTTGGTGAATATATTGAGGAAGGAATCTCGTAAGCAATCCGATGTTCGGATAGCCTTCATGGTTTGACATAAAACACCTAAGCAACGAATTATTCAGTTGGTATATGCCATTTTAATTTCCTTCAAAAGGCCTTTCATGACAGAAAAAAATTGGTCATCTATTTTCATAAGTCTTTACAGACGAACATAATTCCATCGCAATAACCCCATCTAGACAGAGGATGTCAAACGTCTTATTTCACCGTTCAACCTAGACCCATGGGATCCTATAGTGACGGGTTTTTTCCGTCGCTAAAATAGAATGAACGAAGAGTCCATAACATGAATTCTTGAATAAAAAGTGTAGCGTACTTTCTCCGGAGTGAATTTGAAATGAGGACCCCTTAGAAATATTAGCAATCGCACTAGTATACCAACAAAGTGTATTGCATACAATTTATCACATCATGTTACACGTAAGTAAAGACTAACTCTCCGAAGCAACTTCATTAAAGAGCATCAACCTGAAGTACACGAAAAGCATTGATCATGGAAGTTAGCCTTAAAGCAGCGAGAAGACGATGACACGCAGACACCCATCGGATCTCCTTCATCTTCCAAAATCATTCGATTAATCACACGGAGAAAGAGAAAACAACAAATGGAGAGGCCGCAGTGACAGGCACCAAGAACTCCGATATAATCAATAAATCATACGAGAAAACCAAAGCGTTATCATTCCAGTTCATAAGCAAACGAATAAAAAATTCGAGTGCATGATCAAGTAAGTGCCAAACGCGACGATACAGGAGTCGGCGGCAATGAAAGGCCACGACGTTCAACCCTAACTAATGGGAAGAACGCGAGAGTATCGTCACAATCGAGAGAGCCAAAGCCGACAACCGAAACTCGTCCTTGTTCCTCTCGGCCAACGGCGATACCGCGCCTTTCTCCGCGAACCCATCCTCGCATGTCGTCGCGGCATCCATCACCGAGCTCAAGTCGATGTTCACGTCCCGGTACTTCTCGTCCTTGTAGGCTCTGATCGCCTCTTTAAGCGTTGGGATCGCGTTGGAGTACAGCTCCAAGCAATCTTGCAAGCATGCTTTGATGAACGGATCCATCTTCTTGCTCTTCAGAAGCTTCTTGGCGTAAGACCTCGTGCCAGTCACGTTGTGCTGCAGCAGCTTGATGGAGATGAGGCCAAGCCCCCGGAGGTCGGCACGGCGGCTGTTCGGGTTTGACTCAAGCGACGCGACACAGAACTTGAAGCTGACGTTGTTGGGGTCTTCTTGGGCGCATTTCTTGCACGTTTCGTGGATGACGCAGTTGGCACCGCCATCTGCAGATGCAGCGTGGAGGGAGGTGAGGAAGAAGACGAGGAGGAGGGAGAGGGAAGGACAGGGGCTCATTGTTCTCTCTCTTGTTGAATGAGTTCGGATCATGTCCCGAAGTGGAGCAACGACTTATTTAGACACTAATCTTTGCATTTTGGAGGGTAAATATACATGCGATGATGCCAAATTTGGTGCAGTAATCTATTATATCTCTCCCATGCGTGAATTAGACGCACGATATGAGTATCCGTACGTGGGCCACTCTCGATGAGGCCAGAAGAACACGAATGAGTCCGGAATTATTTCGTACGTCAAGTGTAAACTTTCGAGGCTAAGAAGCGAAGCTAATCACGCATTTTTTTGGTACTCACTCGAGCAAGAAAGACTCGATTTGACTAGCGTTATTTGGCATGTCGTGCACATATCATTAGACGTGATGAGTACTTTATATTTGGATAAAAGTTTAGAGATACATGTTGAAATGAACATTATTCTAACGCACTAAAGTCTCGATTCCAAACTTGTTTTGGGGTGGTGGATTCCGGACCCAAAGTCCATCCTATTTGCTTCCTCCAGATCCGGCCTCTACTTCATCATTTTGGGCCAATTAAAATCGCATGGCACAACTCACTACATATTGTTTAGTAGTTCTATGAAATTTCGTTACGTGTATATCACCAAGTACTTCTGGCCGAAGAAACGTCAAGGTTAGGGTTATTGGTACCGTTTATTCATGATCTTTTTGTCCATTACTATGTCCAACAAGAATTTAGCAGCAAAGAAGTACACAATATTGGTACCGTTTGACTGCTATGACCAAGCAAGACTGGTGATTGAAACATAAAACCTTATTTGGATCTGGTTTCTTTGTAAACTCAAACCCAATACATTTTGAATGCGTCTAAACCTTATAAATAAAAGAGCTTAATCTCTTTCTTTGGTTGGCAAAATAGCAAAGAATAATGCTAGGGTAACGGTACCGTTATTGATTGAAGATGACGGAGCAATTTCAGCCATCACTTTAACTTCAAGAGGAACCGGCTAGCGGATTTCTGTATATAAGAAAAAAGGGAAGGTTGTTCGATGGGTTGCACCGGAAGGGAAAATTAAAAAAACTTTTCTCTCTTTTTTTTATTTTTTCATCCTGACATCACATGTTCTCTTGAGAATATTACAAAGTTAAGAGAACATTAGAAACACACTAAATCAGATCACATTTTACCACGTTAACTCTACATTTCCTATTAGCACGCTTCTTTAGAATACATTTGTATTTTTCAATCTAAGAATATGCTTGTTGAGGATAACCCCTTCATTGCATATTCAGATTGAAGTGAAAGTGATTATGGTCAAATTGGCTATGGTCAAATTGGCTACCGCCGCCGTTGTGGTTATCCCGAATAAGCATTTACTTAGATTGAAACATACAACCTAGAGAAGTGTGCTAAAAGGAAATTTAGAGTAAATATTGTAAAATGTGATTTGATTTAGTTTACCATGTTTCTAATGTTTTCTTAACTTTGTAACTCTCCGGATTTTCATGGCAATTAAGTGCTAAATTTTGTAAAATCAAAAAGAAAGATTTGTATCCGACAATAAGAATTCCCACGGAGAAAGTTGGTCTGGAGATCAAGAGAACATGTGAGGTCAGGATGAAAAACAGGAATATTTAAACAAATCCATTAGCCGTTTCTTCTTGAAGTGAAAGTGATGGTTGAAATTGCATCGTCATCTTCAAGCAATAACGGGACCGTTACGCTAGCATTGCCCAATAGCAAAATATATGATGATCCTTGTTCTTAGAATTTTCCAGGAACAAGAAAGTCCAAATTTAATTAGAGAATTCCTTTTAGGGAAATGAAACACATAGTTCATGAAGTTTGACTTAATGTGTAACGTGGTCCTTGAACTTTTAATTTATTAAATATCGTCCCTGAATTTTTGGTACACGCTCAATATAATCCAACGTAATTTCTTATCACACAGAATGTCTTAGTGAAATCACAACTTCATAACATGTCTTTTGCTGTTTTGATACTTGCTTATGCATGTCGTGACCTTTACATTATTCCTTCAATTTCGTGAACACCATGCAATAATTTCTTTCATATGTATCTCCTTCGGTCCACGATTTCTGTCATTTATGAGTAATATAGTATCTGTAGTTGGCCTCATCAGTATCAAACGAAGTTTCTTTCCGAAAACACACTTATCTCTCCTTAACATATGCTCAATTCCTCCTGCTCCTCCTCCACAATTTCATTACTCATCATCTTAATGCCTCTTAATTGACCATTTTATGGCATTCTCTTGGCTCTGAAAATTCTGATCAGCATGTGATGCCTATCTTATCCATAATCACCCTTATGTCTGACCACTATTTTGTTTCCAATCCTAGCATTCCTGATTCATCTATAAAGGTAATAACTCATACATTGTTGTAACTCATTTATCACTTGCACGTGGACTTGAGAGGGGGAATGGGGT